AAGGTGTTTTTTTTAATTCTTTATTGTTGAAAGTATTACATATGTCCCCCTTTCCCCCCATTGTCCTCTCCCAGCCTGCACCCACCAACCAGCTCCAGCCTTCACCGCCCCATTGTCTGTGTCCATTGGTTATGCTTATATGCATATAAGTTCCTTGGTTGATCTCTTACACCCCATATACCCCCCGTTCACCCTCCCCTGCCTTCCCTCTGAGGTGTGACTATCTGATGATTCTATGTCTCTGAATCTATTTTTGATCATCAGTTTATGTTGTTCATTATATTCCACAAATGAGTGAGATCCTGTGATACTTATCTTTCTCTGACTGGCTTATTTTGCTTAGCATAATCTCCATGACCATCCATGCTATTGCAAATGGTAAGAGTTCTTTCTTTTTTACAGCAGTGTAGTATTCCATTGTGTAGATGTAGCAAAGGTTTTTAATCCACTCATATGCTGATGGGCACTTAAGCTGTTTCCATTGTGCTGCTATGAACATTAGGGGTGCATATGTTCTTTCTGATTGGTGTTCTGATTTTTTGGGATATAGTCTGAGAGGATTACTGGGTCAAATGGGAGTTCCATATTTAATTTTTTGAGGAAACTCCATACTGTTTTCCACAGTGGCTGCATTAGTCTGCATCCATACAGGCACCCACCAGGACTGTATGAAGGTTCCCTTTTCTCCACATCCCCACCAGCACTGTCGTTTGTTGGTTTGTTGATGATAGCCATTCTAACTGGTGTGAGGTGGTACCTCATTGTTGTTTTGATTTTCATCTCTCGGATAATTAGTGACTTTGAGCATTTTTTCATATGTCTCTTGGCCTTCTATATGTCCACTTTCAAGAAGTGTTTATTTAAGTCCTTTGCCCATTTTTTAATTGGATTGTTTGCCTTCCTTTTGTTAAGTTGTATGAGTTCCCTATAAATTTTAGAGATTAAACCCTTATCAGATGTAACATTGGCAAATATATTCTCCCATGCAGTGGGCTCTCTTGTCCTCCTTTGTCAAATATTAATTGAGCATAATGGCTTGGGTTGATTTCTGAGTTCTCTGTTCTGTTCCATTGGTCTATATATCTGTTCTTGTGCCAGTACCAGGCAGTTTTGAGAACAGTGGCTTTATAATATAACTTGATGTCTGACACCTCTTATTTTTCATCTGTTGATAATATCCAAGTCTTTGAAGTTCCTATTATAAGGTTATAATAGGAACAGAAAGAGGAGAAAATTGAAGTAGTAATAGGAAATAACCTATCATTAATAAATTGTGAGTTGTTTTTAACCATCTGTGACCTTGAATGAAGGTATAATAATAATGGCATACTTTGTAATGATTGAATAAAAAAATTTTATTTCCTCTTTTTAAAAATACATTTTTGGCATTATCAAGTATGAAAATGTTAATATCTTGCTACTAAGAAAAAGTCTGTTTAGAGCATTTATTTCCTACCTGTTGTCAGTCCTCTCCTCTTACTCTTTGTCTTTCTAAAGCCATGGGAATAAAGAAGAGTTCTCTTGCAGAGGAATACAACTAGCTGTGGATTGGTTTCTAGATAAAGGCCATAAAGATATTACTGTATTTGTGCCCGCGTGGAGAAAGGAGCAATCCCGACCTGATGCACTAATTACAGGTATGATTTTAAATAAGACATTTTTTCTCATCCAGAGCAAAGTAGCGAGATAGTTTGGAGAGATGTTGATGATCTCAATTTAGATAATTATTTTTATAAGTTTATTAAGTATACTTTAAAATTTATTTTATTAAGTATATTTTAAGAATATTTTTCCAGAGATTAAAAATGGCGGCAGAGTAAGTGGATGTTGCACAGACATGCTCCCAGGAACAAACTGGTATTACAACTAAAATACAGAAAAACTTCCTTGAGGGGCCTGGGAGAGGGCATCTACTCTGCTGCTGCTGCCTGTAGTGAAGGCAGAGCCGGAGTCCCCTGAGGAACTTGTGATGGAAGGAGCTGGGGAGGGAGTTCTTTGATGCTGCAGAGCAGTGGTTCTCAACCTTCCTGATGCCGCGACCCTTTAATACAGTTCCTCATGTTGTGGTGACACCCAACCATAAAGTTATTTTTGTTGCTACTTCATAACTGTAATTTTGCTACTGTTATGAATCGTAATGTAAATATCTGATATGCAGGATGTATTTTCATTGTTACAAATTGAACATAATTAAAGCATAGTGATTAATCACAAAAACAATATGTAATTATATATGTGTTTTCCGATGGTCTTAGGTGACCCCTGTGAAAGGGTCGTTCGACCCCCAAAGGGGTCGCGACCCACAGGTTGAGAACTGCTGGCATAGAGACTGGAAGGAGGAACAGAGGCCTGAAAGGGCTAGCTAGGCACCCACAGACAGCAACTGAAGTCCCAGAGAGATATCTCAGCTGTGGGGGGTTGCCATTGAGAATTCTAGGATCTAATCCCAAAGCTGGGCCCCCTAACAGAGAACACCAAAACTGAGGAGGTACCCACATAACATCTGGCTGTGAAAAACAGTGGGGTGCTGTCTGCCAGAGAGTAATAGCTGAAAATTCAGGCACCCTCTTAAAGGACCAACACACAAAATTCCCTGTAGAGCCACCCACCATGTGCTCCAGCAAAGGGAGGGTGAAGTGGACTGGAGCTGTGAGAGCAGAAGCCAGGACTGGAGACTCAGGGGATAGAGCTCAGAAGGAAGACACCCTTAGTTTCCTGGGCTGAGTCATTCCCTCACACAGCAGAGGACATCTTTCCACATAGACATTTGCCTTGCCTGGGGGGAAGACAGTTGACACACCCTATTGGAAAACACCTTACCCTGAGGCTATTTAAGAGATTAAAAATAACAATTAGCCTCCAGGCAGAAGAAACTGCCCCACCCTGTTGAAAGAAAATTCTCACCACACCTGAGGACGATTGCCTTGAGGACAATTCAAGTCAGAATCCTAACAGTCTGTAGGCCAGCGGTTCTCAACCTGTGGGTCGCGACCCCTTTGGGGGTCGAACGACCCTTTCACAGGGGTTTCCTAACCAGGGGTCCTCAAACTTTTTAAACAGGGGGCCAGTTCACTGTCCCTCAGACTGTTGGAGGGCCGGACTATAGTTTAAAAAAAAACTATGAACAAATTCCTATGCACACTGCACATATCTTATTTTGAAGTAAAAAAACAAAACGGGAACAAATACAATATTTGTATTTGCAGGTGGCCCGCG